TTTATTTGACACAGAGAGAGAGACAGCGAGAGAGAGAACACAAGCAGGGGGAGTGGGAGAGGGAGAAGCAGGCTTCCTGCTGAGCAGAGAGCCCGATGTTGGGTCTCGATTCCAGGACCCTGGGATCATGACCTGAGTCGAGACGCTTAACGACTGAGCCACCCAGGCGCCCCTAAAGATTTTCTTTTTGACAGAGAGAGAGAGAGAGAGACAGCACAAGCAGGGGAGAGGGAGAAGCAGGACCCTGGGATCATGATCTGAGCGGAAGGCAGACGCTTAACCGACTGAGCCACCCAGGCGTCTCTATGATTCCATTTCTAAAAACTGTCTAGAATATGTAAATCTAGAGAGACAGAAAGTAGATTAGTGGTTGCAGGGGCTGAGGTTGGGTGGGTGGGGATGGGAATGACTGCTAATGGGTAAGGGGTTTCTCTTTAGGTGAAGTGAATGTTCTAAACTTAGGTTGTGGTGACGAATTGCCCAACTCTGTGAATATACGAAAACCATTGAATTGTACCTTTTTTTTTTTTTAAGATTTTATTTATTTGACAGAGAGAGAGAGCGAGAGCAGGAACACAGCAGGGAGAGTGGGAGAGGGAGAAGCAGGCTTCCCGCTGAGCAGGGAGCCCCATGCAGGGCTCGATCCCAGGATCCTGGGGCCATTTCCTGAGCAGAAGGCAGACGCCTAAAGACTAAGCCACCCAGGCGCCCCCCAATTGTACATTTTAACGAGGTGGATTTTATGGTATGTCAATTATATCCCGAGTAGAATGTGGGGGGAGGAAAAAAGAAACTGAGAAGTGGCTAGACTGTGGAAGGAAAATTTGCTAACTGGCATGAGGAAGCTGCTCTCATCCTGGGTCAGGGCTGGAAGCCCCAGTGGGAGGCCACTTCTCACCTTTTTGGCAAAATGGAGGAATGTGGACTGGGGACGGGAGTACTTGGCAACAAGATCCATTCTAGGGTATCATTCTTCCTTGCTGGAAGTAGTTCTGACCCAGCAGCCAAAGGGAGGATCAGTTTTAGAAGGAACACTTCCCCAGGAGGAAAAGATTTGCTGGCAGGACGCGACAGGAAGATGGGTGGGCCAGGCGGGAGAGCCTAGACTAGCCCAACATAACGAGGTGGCCAGGCCGGCCATGGACGGGACGAGAGCGGTACAGGAGGAGGTTCTGGAAAGTCAGACGCCCTCAGAAGGCCTGGCCGAGGTTGGCGATGGGGTGTCTGGAGGACATAGTCCTGGCACTCTGTCCCACGTCTCCCTAAGCCAGTTGGGAGTGAGTACCTCTCGGGATCCCTGCGAGCACGAGAAGTCGGCCCAGGAAGGCGCACGATCTAGTCCTAGCCAGCAGGAACCTGAGCCGCGCATGCCCAGAGCACCCGGTGGGCGTGCCGGAGGTGGGCGGGGCGAGCGGGGGCGGGGCGGAGCTGTGAGTGGGGCGCGCTGCTGGGGCGGTGGGCGACCTCTGGGATGGTGGGACGCTGTTCGAAGCAGGTGGAGGATTGCACTGCCAAAGTGATCCAGAAGCCACCGAGGTGGGGCTCCGGCCATTGGAGGCGGGGATCGAGGATGCTGGGAGAAGGCGACAGGTGTGGCGTCACCTGCACGAAGTACTGAGTCTGGTGAGGGGGTGCTCGATGGGCCCGTGCTGCAGGTGGAGGTGTGAAGACTGGAAACTTGAGAAGGGGAGACTGGAAATGAGTCACCAGTTCTATGGCCGGCGCTGGAGTGTCACTCTTAGACCCATTTGAGTGCTGGCCCGATTTTCAAATGAAGAAAGGGAAAATGACTTGTTCTGAATCCCAGAGTTGGGATGCTGGGTGGGAGGCAGGATTTGAACTGGATCCCCTGATTCCAAAGCCACATCTGGCGCTCCTGTATTGGAGTTTAAGGGACAGGTGAATGGCCTAGAACAGAACTGGACAAATATTACCCCTACAGGATCAGATAGTAAATACTGTATTTTCTGCCTTGAGGGTCAAAAGGCATGCTATTATATAGGTAAGTACATAGTATAAGAAGAGATGAGGGGCGCCTGGGTGGCTCAGTCGTTAAGCATCTGCCTTTGGCTCAGGTCATGGTCCCAGGGTCCTGGGATCGAGCCCCACATCCCTGCTCGGCGGGAAGCCTGCTTCTCCCTCTCCCACTCCCCCTACTTGTGTTCCCTCTCTCCCTGTGTCTCTCTCTGTCAAATACATAAATAAAATCTTTAAAAAAAAAAAGAGAAGAGATGAAACAGGGGTGTCAGCTGGATCAGTCGGTAAAGCATGTGGCTCTTCATCTCAGGATGGTGAGTTTGAGCCCCACCTTGGGCATGAAGATTACTTTAAAAAGGAGGGAAAAAGGAAAATAAAAAAAAAAAGAGAGATGAGACATATCTCCATATGCTTTTTACTGACAGACTATCTTTATTTACAGACTCTAACTTTGAAATTCATGGAATTTATGTGTCATGAAATACTATTTTGTTTGTTTTTGAGAGAGAGAGACCGAAGTGTAGGAGTGGGGTAGGAGCAGAGGGAGAGAGAGAATTTTTTAAACTTTTTTTTTAAAGATTTTATTTATTTGTCAGAGAGAGAGAGAAAGCATGCACAAGCAAGGGGAGCGGGATGAGGAGCAGAGGGAGAAACAGTTTCCCCACTGAGCAAGGAGATGGAAGTGGGACTCCACAGGACCCTGGGATCATGACCTGAGCCAAAGGCAGACCCTCAGACTGAGCCACCCAGGCACCCCAGAAAATGTTAAATTATACATGTGTTTGCATTTGTGGCATCATATTTCTGTGATGCAGCACCGCTGGAGATGTAGGCTGGGGGTACATGGGATGGGATGGCCCCTCCATTTGTGTTGAGGGAGGCGGGAGGAGGTGTGGCCTGGCTTCAAGCAGTGGAATGTTGGGCCACGTGGGGACAGCGGGTTTCATTAAGGAGAGGTGGAGGGGCAGGCTGGGGGGGGGTGGTACCAGACCGAGGAGGCTTCTGTAGGACTCTGTTTGAGATGGGGGGATGCTTCAGGGACCAGGAGAAAGGAGCTGTTTTGGGGGGCAGCCCAAGCTAGCTTTGCCTTGCCCTTGGCTGTGGAGGGAGTAGGGAGGTGCCAAGAAGAGGGTACCAGCCCGTGGCTTCCTGTTTCTGGGGGGAGGAAGGCAGAGTTCCTGCGTCCATGTCTGAGCTCCCTGGGCGTAGGAGGTGGAAACCTCAGCGGGCCCCTGGTCTCTTGCCTGCAGCTGCCTGGGGCTCGGAGCGGAGCCCCGGGGGTGGAGAGGACCCGACCGAAAGAGTCGTGGGTTCCAGGCCTGGTGGCACTGGACGGTTACCCGCACTCCACCTCCACGCTGAATGTCTGTGCCCTCCCCCAGCTCATATGTTGCAATCCTAACCCCCAGTGGGATGGTATTCAGAAGTGGGGCATTTGGGGGGCTGGAGCCTTCCACCCTGTGAGGATGCAGGGAGAATCAGCCATCCGTGAGCTGGGTAGCGGGCCCCCGCCAGGCACTGGGTCAGCCAGCGCCTTGATCTTGGACCTCCAGCCTCCAGAGCTGTGAGAAATAAATGTCTGTTGTCGTAAGCCGCCTAATCTACCGTAGGTTTGTTGTAGCAGCTTGAACGGACTGAGGCCCTTTCCTTCTATGACCTTTGGTTTTCTTCTCTGTTAACGAGGGGCTTGGACTTACCTTTGAAATGGATCCTCTCTTGATCCCTTGCTAGCCATTGCAAGAAATGGGTGACGTGAGGTTAGAGTCAGGTGTAGCCCGGAAGCGAGGGGGCTTTCCCCCGTGGTGCGGGTGGTTTCCTCCTTGACAGAAGCAGACAGTATCTGCCCACCACCTTCCCTGCCAGGCTTGGCTTTCAAAGCCCACCCCTGGGTAGTTCTGGTCCAGCTTTCCAGCCTTCCTGCCCATCCGCCCCCCCATGCCTGGGCCAGGGTCATAACTATGTATAGACACAAAATTCTGCCCACTCACCCTCCTTAATTTTTTTAAGTTTTTTTTTTTTTTAAGATTTTATTTATTTGTTTGACAGAGAGAGAGACAACACCCAAGCAGGGGGAGCAGCAGGCAGAGAGAGAAGCAGACTCCCCGCTGAGCAGGGAGCCCGATGCGGGGCTCGATCCCAGGACCCCGGGATCATGACCTGAACTGAAGGCAGATGCTTAACCAACTGAGCCACCCAGGCACCCCCAGAGATACGATTTATAATTGCTCCAAATAGTATCTCACCAACACTTGCCAAGACTGGGTTTTCGCAACTTTTTGGAGAAGGGAGAAGGTTGGTGATGATCCAGTAGGGACAAATGGTGTCTTGTGTTCATTTACATTTCTTTAGTTCTCAGGGAAGCTGGATATTTCATATTTTTATAGCTCTTTTGTGTTCTATTCTTGTCCAGTTTTTCTGTAGGGTTTGTCTCTTACCGCTTTAGAAAAGCTTTTAGGACTTTAAGGAAAGTTTTCTAGTGCTTTTGTGGTTTCACTGTTTGTATGAAAATGTTTGATCCATCAGGTTTAATGTGATGTTAGGAGCAAAGCTGGGCTCCAGCTTGATTTTCTTCCGGATGGCTGAGCCATTGTCCTGATGCCATCTACTGAACTCTTACTGGTGCCGTGCATTCATTTAAAATGCCTCTGTTGCATACTAGATTCTAATATGGGTTTGGGCAGTCCTAAACTGTTTTGATGGTTGTAGCATTTGCTTGCTTGTTTTTAATTTCTTTTTGAACTATTTTTTGGTATCTACTGGGGCTTTGGCAGCTCACCAGTTTTAAAGCAAGCTTGGGGGGACGCCTGGGTGGCACAGTCATTAAGCGTCTACCTTTGGCTCAGGTCATGATCCCAGGGTCCTGAATTCAAGTCCGGTGTCGGGCTCCTTGCTCAGTGGGGAGCCTGCTTCTCACTCTGTTTCCTGCTCCCCCTGCTTGTGCTTTCTCTCTCTCTCTGACAAATAAATAGATAAAGTCTTTAAAAAAGAATAAAATAAAACCAAGCCTGGGGAAAGACTTGATACCGGGAAAGACAAAGGCTCTGGGAGTCCAACAGGCCAGGATTTGAATCCCAGGTATACAGGTTATCAGCTTTTTTCCCCCTGGGCAAATTGTTTAACGTTACTGTGCTGGTTTCTTGCCTTTAAAATCAGATGAGGATTGAAGGAGCTGTCTGTCACCAGGAAAGCCCCCGGGGCTGCTGTTAGGCTTCTGCTGGCTGTGTGGCGGTTCTCTCCTGGGCCTGAGCTTGAGAGGGCCAGGGTGAGGAAATGTGCAGGCCCAAGGCCTGGAGCTCAGGTCCCCCCACCCCCAATCCTCTGGCCGGTCCATTAGCAGGGCCTGCTCAGCCCTCTCCCACAATCTACTCTTCTGAGGGAAAGCTGTCCCCATGGATCTAAAGGGCGGCTGAGGTATGGGTGGGCAGCGTGTGGACAGACTGCAGACATCTGGCTTAGGGCATCCACCTATG